ATCCCGGAATCCCGATATCGGGATCCCGGGATTTTCGGGATTTCAAAATCCCGAAAAATATAAAAAAATTCAAAAAAATCTTAACAATTCACCGACAAAAATAACATTTTCTATTTCATGTTGCAATATGAATACACTTAGAAGGTGTTTACTTTCCAATAAGCATTTTGTGAAAAGAAAAACAAATTAATTCAAAGTACTTATAATAAAAATCTTTCCATCCCAGGTACTGAATAGTAGAATAAAAACCTACTTTTGAGCAAAAGCTTCTTATATCTTATAAATATAAAATAATACCCATGATATCCAAATTTACAATGGTTTCTAAATTTACAATTTGATGAAACCTAATATTTAGATAGTATGCGTAATGAGGATCCATACGAGGCTACATAGAGCTCCTGTACTGCACCTATGTACTCATGAGACCATTCGTCTTGAGATGAATATCGGATATATGGTTTTTAATGGTCAGTAATAGTAATTAAAAATAGTAATTCCAGATTTTGCCGTGTTCTCTAACCCAAATAAGGGAATTATCATCTCGCCATCTTATTGACAGGTTGACTTCCATTATATATTCTAATACACCCATTAGATATCCGATTATTGCCCTTTTTATACCCTATACCACCTTAGTGGGGAAGGTATATTGGGTATCTTCGGAGTATTGCTTTTGTTTTATACTGTTCTTAAATACCCTGATGAATTTTGAAGTTATCGGGCTTCTTCTCATCCTAGCCTAGTGTCCACATTTCGCTTAAAAAGAGAAGTGCCGTAATGAAATTCAGCATAAATAAATTTTATGTAACCGTAAATTCTTCCTCCAAATTTTATGAGGATCGACTCATGTGAAGGCTTCCCCCAAGCATATTTCAGAAAATAGTTTTTTAACAATAAATTGCTAAAATATATCGGAGGCGAGGTATAAATCAACTTAAATGATTTATTATGAAAACTAAATCACATTTTACTCTCATAACTGGTGCAGGGGGTTATATGGTCGTCCTCGCCCGCCAATAATTTCTTACTTGTTATTTTTATATATCCGATAGTATCTATGCCTGTTGCCCTTTTTATTTTTGATATTTCAGCTTGTAAGTTAGTATAGTCATCTTAAGTCCAAAAACTTTTAAAATTCTCTTATTTAATAGTTTATAATGTATAAAATAGCGGAAAAACACTTAAAAATTCGGGATTTTAAAATCCCCAAATTTCCCGGTATTTCATTTTTTAAAATCCCGGTTTTCGGTACTTTCAAATCCCGAAAATCCCGGGATTTTCGGGAATCGGGAATTCCCGTTTGGCATCCCTACTAGGGAGGTATATAATTGCCACTCTCTTCCCTACAAGAAATGTATGACCGAAACTAACACATACAAAATGATTTTACTAACACACTTGCAACATTTTTCTTTAAAAATTACTAAAAAAAATAGTTAATGGATAATTCCATCAATAATGACGGTCAAATGACCGGTAAAATGACTGTGATTTACTCAATGTGTGATAAAGGGTTTCATTTGCATATGAAAGAGTGAAACAACTACATTTGACTGTCACTGTGTTTTCGTCGCATAAATTAATTATTTCAGTGAAAGCCAAAGATCAAAAAGCAAAAAATTAAAAAATTTAAGACTAAAATTATTAAAAATAAAGAGATTTATTGTAATTTAAAAACGGTGCAGGAAGTGGAGCTGAGAATATACACTTCGGAGTTTAATCTATCTGTGGTAATATGAATACATATTTACTTTTAATTTTTATATTTCAATATTTATATGCATTTCTTTACAGACAATTTATTTCCTAAAATTAAAAGGAGCATAGGAGGATTTTACATTCTGTGAGGTATGTAAAATGGTGAAATGGTAGTTAATTTATGTATATGCTTACTATGTATATTAATAAAATTAAAAATATATATCTTAAAATGTTAATAAATTGTGTTTTATTATAAATTGGCATAGCCGTCAGATTTGACGGATAAATTCATCAAGTGTGATTGGTCAACTGTGATGGATATATCCATAAAGAATGATTAGTCAATCGTGACTAACATTTCCATCATCCTTGATTGGTAAAAAGCAAAAGAGTGAGCAGCTCAAATATATGTTTTAAAATCGGTAGAATTCATAAGTGCAAGGGAGATGCAAGATCACATGTACACAAAAGTTTCCATCAAATTTTTCATATTGCCCTTAAGAACTTGATAGAAACTTTGTTCTACGCAGTGATCGATATTTCCTTCACTAGTGTCAGTCAAATGACCGGTCAAATGACTGTCACTGTTCTTGTAGGGTTGTGGGCATTCTTCCAGGAGACCTTCATGATGCCTCCGTTTTCTTGATTTGCGCTGATAAACCTTAGCGGCGGTAGCAGCTGACACTAATATTTTGGGCGACGGCTTAAAAACGGTTATAAGCCGCCTAGTTTTCAGACGTTTTTAAATTTTAAACGATATTACAAATTATGAATAACCATTTAATGTCTGATATGAAAATACTTATGAATTTCAATAACTTCGATAAAATTAAGGAAGAATCAGACAAATTACATAAAAATGTCAATACAGAAAAAAATTATAATTAGTATCTGGCGGTTATAAACAAATTTTTTACCAAACACAAACACTTGAAGAAAAAAATATAAAAGGTAGTTTTGTTTTTTCAAAATTTTGGACGTAAATTACAATTCAGCGCAATTCAATATTATTCTATATTTTGGTTTGGTTTGGCTAGACTTCGACCTTTTTCCAATTTTGTTGGCTTGTGTTTTATTCTTTGGCTTGTGTTATTATCAGAATTGCGCCCAAAAACTTTAACCAAAATAAAATATTCATAAAGGTATTCCCCGCTAAATATGACTGGACCAATAGTTCTTTATTATAGGATTATACTCTCCCCATATTAGCGTTGTAGGATATCAATAGAAAAACATTTATTAATAAGTTTACAAACGTCTTCATATTTTTTATTTCTTTTCTTTAGCATGTAACTTTGAATTAATCATATCCTTAAATTGTGATAAAATCTTATTTTCACGCTTTTGTCGTTCCTCCTTGCTGAACATAGCCAGAGCACGTTTTTCATCAGCCGAATAGATTTGATTTTCCTTACGTATACGCACAGCTTCCATGCGCCGATGTCTACTGCCGCTCATAACATATCCGACCGATTCGAAGGTGGCTATTTCATCGGAGGTTAAACCAATTTCACCACGACGTGGTATACGTTTGCCCTCTGCTATATAGGCAGCCATTGCGGCACCTTCACCCGGCAGTAAAGCGCGTCCAAAATCTTTTTGATTTAGACCACCTGTTTGACGTACCGTGGGACCGAATTCATCTTCTTCGTCTTGTACCTGGATGCTGTGCGTATTTTTCGTAGAACTTGATTTTGCTTGGTATTTATCATCTGATTCGTGGGATTTTTTCGATTTCTTTTGTTTTTTCTTCATTTTTTTAGACTTTTTGGTTTTGGATAATTTCTTTAAGTTATCCGCAGTTTTTTCTACCCACACCTCTTCTTTATCATCATCATCACTGGATGATGAGTTATCGCTATCCGAAGAGTCGCTGGAACTTGATGATGATTCAGAATCTTCTGAAGATGAATCATCTGAAGAGCTTTCTTTTTTCTTTTTCTTACTTTTTGATTTTTTACGTTTTTTGGTTTTCTTTTTCTTGGATTTTTTGCTAGACTTCTTTTTACCCTTTTTAGATTTTTTCTTTTTGGGTCCTTGGTATGTGTGCTCTAAAAGTTTAACATCATCATCGTCTTCATCGTCAGAATAAACTTCTGGATGCGCTGGACTTTTACCCCAAACATCTGCGGCTCCTTCTATACCAATAACCTCACGTTCTTCTCTTCTCTGTTTTAAATATTTCGCATCCAATTTGTTGTACTTGTCATTGCGACCATTGTTGGCTCGAAAACCCAAGCCATGGCGTTTTTTTTCCTCTTGTGGAAATGAAGCTGATGGTTGACCGCGGAAGGGATTGTTTGCCCTTTCTTTGTGATGGTTGTTTTCATGATACTTATCATTGGGCCATCGCTCTACAGGCTTCTTATGCGAACTACGACTTCGATCTGATGAACTACTGGAAGCACTTCTATGTCGATTTTTACTGCGGGAACGTCTACTATCCTTTCGTTCGGAACTTCTCCTATAATGATTTCTACTCTTACTAGCAGATGGTGAAGTACTACGTGAATGACGCCGATGGCCTTCTCTGCGATTGGGACTTCTTTTACTTTGTACTGATCTAGATCTACTTCTGGAGTGTCTGCGTCGCCGGTCTTTTTCTTTCCGATCTCTAGACAGGGAACGTCTACGTCGTTCTTCTGGAGATCTATGTCTACTTCTGGATCTAGTAGGCGATCTCATTGTAAATATTATTAATTAATTCTTTTTACAAATTATTTATTTTTACAAGCCTACAATAAACTATAAACGTTTTTTTAATCAGCTGGTTTTTCTTTTGTTTTCTAGTGTCATCAGAGCCCTGCGCCGACAAATATTAACGGCGGCGGCGACTGACACTAAATATGTCGGCGGCGGCTTAAAATCGACTGTAAGCCGGCTAAGTTTTCAACTACGTTTAGTTTTTAATTTTTCAACGATTTTAAATAAAAACGGAATCCGAGAGATCAGAAAGTAGGATTTTGGAAGCAAATATATTGTTTATAACAACAAAACAGAGCAAACTCAAAAGTTGCATGAGAAATTATGCAGGGATGAATAAAAAATTCTTAAAAATTAAAAACAAATCCTTTCTCCAAGTTTTACTAGGATCTGCCGATATTTAACCCTATCTTCCATATAAAACATCTTGCAGAAAATCAGTTTCTAAAAAATTTTGCATTAAGAAAATGATCAATAACGTAAAAACAAAGATATTTTATTTGTTTATTTACTAGCTATACCCAGTGTGCTGTGCTACCCTAAAAGCAATATAAATAAGAAACCTACTTAACAATTTTGATTATTCTAACTACAATGGTTTTCCAGATATACAATTTGTTACATATGGGAGATTCCACGCAAATTATTGCAATTTCGCCAATTATTCCGAACGTTAATTAAGATTTTAATTTAATCTATGAAAAATTTGAATAATCTAATAGTTTCCAGATATACAAAATTTTGTATTTAATTCATATGGGAAGTGCCAAGCCCCCCATTGAAAGTCCGCCCGTTATTCTCTAAATGTTCTTCAGTAAAATTTGAAGATTCTAGCTCTAATAGTTTCTCAGATATACGAATTTTTCTATTTAATTCATATGGGAGCCTCAAGCCCCCCAGATGAAAGTCCGCCCTTTTTTCTCCAAAATGTTCAGATGAATATTAAAGTTGTTCGTGCAAAATTTGAAGAATTTAGTTATATTAGTTTCCCAGATAAACGAATTTTTGTATTTAATTCATATGGGAGGTTCCGCTCCCCTCATTGGTAGTCCCCCAATTTATTACCCAAAATGTTTACATGGATGTTAAAGTTCTTCCAGAACAACATCCTTTAAAGGGATCACAAAGAGATTGAAAAATATTCCAAAAGTTTCACTTTGAAAACATTATTAGAATGTATGAAACTCGCAACTCTAAAGGAAGACTATTCCTATTTTAGTGGTATTTTATGATTAAAATAAGTAAGGCAAATCATATGTCGTAAAAAAGGAAAATTTCGGAAGTGGTCCGATCATTAGATTAATAAGAACGTCACCATGATTTTCGGATTAGGGACTTAAATGTGGAATTGGATCAATAATATATATAATTTAAAGTATTTTTTTTTAATTCTACCATAATTCTATCATAATGATAACTTTTGGAATGATGTATTAGCTATAAACTGATTTTCTGTAAGAGGGTTATATTGGCGGACCGATCCTCATAATTTTATTTTTCATAAATGTGGGTTTCGGTTCCTAAAAATGTTTATTTCGTCGACATCGACATTTGAAAGCCATTTATGTGCGTTTAAGTCATTTTCTGAAGAAGATTTCATTACATATTTTCGTTCCAACAAAAATTGTTTTATTATGGTATTATTAAGTACGTAGAAAACGTTAAAATCAATTTTTGAAGGGGGCAGGGTCAACTATGGCCTATAGAGATTTCGATTGATATCGAGCCCTTTTTGCAAAATGGACGTAAGCGAGATAAATTTTCGTTCAATTAGGATACTGCGTGTTTAATTTTATGTTTATATATTCAATATTTTAGAAAATTCAAAAAGTACCAGTTAAAGAACGAAAAATTACCAGAAATATATATAGATTTCGTGCATTGAATTATACTGTTACCGAATTTACGTTTTTACCCTTTTTTAACCCCCAAAAAATTCGAATTTCCAAAAATCGCGTCTTATTGGATACATTTGGTGGGAGACCAACCTCTTGGTATAGTGTGACAACTATAAGGGACCTAAAGTCGACATAAAGCTCACAATGGTTAGTACCAATATTTTGCCCAAACAACATCTAAATACCTAGCCAGGTTATATCCTCTAGGTCAGTGAAGACATTCTCTACAAAGCTATAAATTTGTATAAAAGGCGGCTTAACAATTGTTTCTTGTAAATATTCGGCCACCATAGTGTTTGGAGACAACAAGAGCTTCACTGAAAGGCACACCAGACAGACATCGCGCTCTATTATGGGTGTATGGTAGTGATTCTGCTGAGATCAATGGTATAATAATAAGTATGTATCCCAAGGATACCCCCTGAATACGGCAATCAGCTTCCGTCCATTGCCTCTAGGTGATAATATACCATGTCACCACTAGCCGACCGACCACCACCCGCCTAGGTGACTAGGGAGGTATATATGTGGGCATTCTTCCAGGAGACCATCATGATGCCTCCTCTTTCTTGAAAAGAAAGACGTTCTTTATAGACAAATAAATAATTAATTAACACCATTACTTACATTTTTTAATCTTCTAGATCTCACAAATATGCCAAATATAGATTTCGATAAACACTTTTGGGTATTAAACGAAAACAAACCCCGGCTGGAAAAACATTTTCATCATAGTTATTAACCATTTAACTAAATTAAACCCAACACTTGCTGTTTCTTTGTACAATGACCCTCGGTATAGTAGTATAGCATACAATCTTATTAATTTCAATTTTTAGTAAAACATTATTTTTTTTATTTAAAGAATATCATTTCTGTCATTTTAGATTTTCGCACACACACAACAAATAAAAAATGCAGAAAACAGCTTGGCGCGAAAAATTCTAGCAGAATTTCTTTTCGCAGTCGGCAGAATTGACATCAACTGCACTTCCCATTTGAAATACACATGTTCGATACCCTAGCCCTTTACGGTATGACATACCAGCAATGTAAAAAGGTGTAGCTCCGTTGACGTCAACGAAGCTGGTTTGAAGTCAAAGCAGCGACTCGAATTAGGCGCGAAAACACGAAAATATCTGAGGCGAAGCATATACATCGAACGTTGAGCAAAGTTCTACACCGGCCAAATTTCAATGAGCGGCTTATTATTAAATAAAAGAAAACTTGCTTAAATGAAAACAAATTAATTTTATATTGTAAAATTCCACAAATTTAGCGAAAGTATTCTGTAAATTGTACAAAATATGGCGAAATTTTCAAGCCGTATTAAATTTTTCGCGGCGGCGGCTTTGACATTTCGTTCGGCGGCTAGGCTTAGTCGGCTTAAGCCGAATCGGCGCAAGTCTCTGAGTGTCATTCGCAATAAAAAATATTGCCATCTATTCTCGAAATGCTGCCATACTTAAATGTAAATAATTATATTAAAAATAGTTGTTTATTTGACAATGTTTATACAATATATATTATATATTCGAAACAAAATCCAGGAGATTCAAATATCCAAAATAAGAGCACGTAATTTTCAGAAAATACATATGTATATAAGGTCCTGCAAACATGCTTGTCATCTTCTCGGATCCGGCATCACTTAAAACTAAAACAAATTATTTCAACTGGCAATACTTTACAAGAAATTTTCACGATATACATATTTAAAACTGGCAATTCTGTCCATGCAATTTTGACATTCTTCTATTAATCTGTGTGACGTGTAAATTTTTTTAGATTATTAAAGAAAAAATTCTACCAATTTCATTATAAAATAATAAAATATTTCGATAATTATTGCTATATTAAAGTAAAAACAATCAATTACAATAATGGGTTCATTCCGTCGTGAAAAAGAAGATGAAGAGGAGGGTAAGTTATCACCAAAAATAATAGTAAACAGTAAACTATCAGAACCGCTATCAAAATTTCTTATAAAGATAAAAAAATTCGATGACTACATTACTTTATTCAAAATACGAAAAGACAGTAGGACTAGAAGAAAAAGTCATTTCATAGTATTAAGCAGTCTTGTTAAACATGCGTTTATTTAAAAATATAAAATCCTCATCAGGTCCCAGTAATATCTATCAAAATCTTGAGAAAACTTCGGTTTTACAAGAGACACGAGCCTTCAATGACACTCCCGTCAATCCCCGGAAATGTATACATATTTTGACCAAAATCTTATATTTGATCAATCAAGGCGAGCAATTGGGCACACGAGAGGCCACTGACTGCTTCTTTGCCATGACCAAATTGTTCCAGTCGAAAGATGTAGTCTTGCGTCGCATGGTTTATTTGGGCATTAAAGAATTGTCCTCTATTGCCGAAGATGTTATCATTGTTACCAGCTCATTGACTAAGGATATGACTGGTAAAGAAGATTTATATAGAGCCGCTGCTATACGTGCCCTATGCAGTATTACTGACAACACAATGCTTCAGGCAGTGGAGCGTTATATGAAACAATGTATTGTAGATAAAAATGCTGCCGTATCTTGTGCTGCTTTGGTAAGCTCATTGAGATTGGCTGGTACAGCTGGTGATGTTGTAAAACGTTGGGCCAATGAGGCCCAGGAGGCTTTAAACAGTGATAATATTATGGTTCAATATCATGCTTTGGGTCTTCTGTATCATATTCGCAAATCTGATCGTTTGGCTGTTACCAAACTTGTCAACAAATTGACTCGCAATTCCATGAAAAGTCCTTATGCTGTTTGCATGTTGGTAAGTTTGTTTTTAAAATATAAAAAGTGTTCCAACTCTATCATTACTTGATTTCAGATTCGCATTGCTTGCCGACTCATTGAGGAAGAAGATATTTCGGCCGATGAAATGTCTGAATCTCCTATGTTCACTTTTATTGAATCCTGTTTGCGCCACAAAAGTGAAATGGTCATTTATGAAGCCGCTCATGCTATAGTCAATTTGAAGAATACCAATGCTCGTGTTTTATCACCAGCTTTCTCTATTCTACAACTTTTCTGTAGCTCTCCTAAGGCTACTTTACGTTTTGCCGCTGTACGTACTCTTAACAAGGTCGCCATGACTCATCCAGCTGCTGTGACCACTTGTAATTTAGATTTAGAGGGTCTTATTGCCGACTCTAATCGTTCTGTGGCTACACTTGCTATTACCACTTTACTAAAAACTGGCGCAGAATCTTCAGTAGAACGTTTGATGAAGCAGATTTCTTCATTTGTTGCCGAAATCTCTGATGAATTCAAGGTGGTAGTCGTTCAAGCCATTTGCTCTTTATGCACAAAATATCCACGTAAACACAGTGTTTTGATGAATTTCCTTAGTGGCATGCTGCGTGAGGAAGGTGGTTTGGAATATAAAACATCCATTGTTGATACTATTATCACTATTATTGAAGAAAATGCTGAAGCTAAAGAATCTGGTCTCTCACACTTGTGCGAGTTCATTGAGGATTGTGAACATGTATCATTGGCCGTACGTATTTTACATCTTTTAGGCAAGGAGGGGCCTTTTGCCGTACAGCCTTCTAAGTACATAAGATTTATCTACAATCGTGTTATATTGGAGAGTCCAATTGTAAGAGCTGCTGCTGTTACCGCTTTGGCACAATTTGGTGCTTCTTGTCCAGCACTTTTGGGCAATATACTTGTCCTCTTGGGTCGCTGCCAAATGGATCCTGATGATGAAGTACGTGATCGTGCCACTTACTATTTGCATCTTTTGCAAACAGAAAAACCAGAATTATATAAACATTATATTATTGAGCGTGAAACATGTTCATTGGCCTTGTTGGAAAAGGCTTTGGTTGAGCATTTAAATGGTGATTGTAATGCTAGCTTTGATTTATCGATTGTACCCAAAGCCACGGTTGTCAAGGAAGAAGTCAAGGATGAAGCTATGCTTATTTCAAATGGTAAGTTGAAATTAAAGCTATGAATTTTAAAATATGTTTATTTTTGTTGGTATTAATTATTTTAGCTCCTCGTGCTCCTAAAATTACTAGAGAAGAAGAGAGTGCCGCCAGATTAGCTCAATTGCCTGGTATCCAAGCTTTGGGTCCAATTCATCGCACTACACCTGCTATTCAACTTACCGAAAGTGAAACGGAATACACTGTATCCTGTATTAAACATATTTTCTCAAATCATGTTGTATTCCAGGTGAGTAAAATTAATAAAAATGTTGAGGAAAATAATTAATCTTTGTTCCCAATACAAAAGATTTGCTTGTTAAATTGATCTGTAATGGATTTAATTTTTAATCCTAATTCCAAAAACATTATTAACATTTTTTAAATTTAACAATTTGAAATCATAAAAAATATTTTTTTAATAAATATTTACAGTTCGATTGTCTCAATACTTTATCGGATCAAATTTTGGAAAATGTACGCGTAGAATTGACTATACCCGATGGTTTTATAACTCGTGCCGTTATACCCTGTCCAAAATTGCCATACAATGAATTACAGACCACCTTTGTTATTGTTGAATTCCCACAAGATGTCGGCAGTTCAGCAGGTAATTTTTTAAACTTGTATTGTTAAGCAAGTTTAAATTGTTATTGAAATTGTGTTTCAGCTACATTTGGAGCCACTTTACGTTTTGTGGTTAAAGATTGTGATCCCAATACTGGTGAACCAGATTCCGAAGAAGGCTATGATGATGAATATATGTTGGAAGATTTAGAAATAACTGTAGCTGATCAAATACAAAAGAATAAGAAGAGTAATTTCCAAGCCGTATGGGATGCAGCCGATACTGAAGGTTTGTTTGAAATAATTTCATATATTCAACAAGGTGACATTTTTATACATTATTTAACAAATTTTAGAATGGGTTGAAGCAGAAGATACTTACTCTCTATCGGCCGTTAATACTTTACAAGAAGCAGTAAACACAATTATAAAATTCTTAGGCCTAGCACCCGCCAATCTATCAGAAAAAGTTCCCGAAGGTGTGGCCACTCATACATTACTATGTTCAGGTAAGTTTTAAAATTTCTAGAAAGTTTTAGCTTAATTAACAGGATTATTTTCTGCTTATTTATAGGTACATTTAGAGGCGGAGCGGAAATTTTGGTACGTTCCAAATTAGCCCTAGCTGATGGTGTTACCATGCAGTTAACTGTTCGTACCACAGATCCAGATGTGGCAGAATTAGTAACAGCAGCCATTGGATAGGATCCAATTGATCTTTTACAGAAACTTCAATAGCTTCGAAGTTTTCCACTTTATTCTAATAACAATTTAATACACACACAATATGATTTACATGAAACTCTTTATAATACTTTTATATAAAAAAGGAGTTTAATATATTAACTCTAAAGTATAAACAAACATCTTTACATAGGCGTAATAAACTTATTTTTATTATTTTTTTTTTTTCGAATGTAATTCGTTTTTCCGTTTACTGTAAACATTCATGTTACTTTTTTCCAAAAATTACAACAAAAAACCTAATTCCTTTTTTATATTTACAAACGAAAATCTGTCATAAACTGTTTATTTTGTTTGTGTTTTTGAAGATCATTAAAACGTTAATAAATTAAGCATTTTATTTAGTATTTATAAGTTAATAATATACAAAATTATAATATAATAAAAAAAAAATAAACAAAAACTGCTCTCAAAAAAAAAAGAACAATCAATGTTTATTTTATGATTTATTTAGCTTTTCAGTATTAATTTACTTTGTCATTGACACTGAAGCAAATTTGTTTTGCATTAATTTTTCCTTTTTAAATGTTTTACTTGTTGGTCTAATAAGCTATATGGGGAAAAATTCCCTTTAGAAAAATCAAGATTTATTTAATTTATTAAAACAGTGGTTTAGGGTGTAATTGAAAAAGCGTTTTTAGAAAAAAGTAGACTTGTCTTTAGCCTGTGCCAATGTGACAAAACGGTAACAGTTTTATTTTGTAAATTTTAAACTAATTTCCTAAATAATTTGTTTAAAATAAAACGAGAAATATATAATCGAAAAACTCCTCACAAACCACTGTTCTGTCATGTCGCCAAAGAGGCTAATGCCCCGTATTCACATAGCTTTATATCTCAATCTCACTTAAAGAACAACAAACATATGGAAGAACCATTTGCCATAGTAAATAAAGATTGCACTTAATATTTATTCTTAAATACTCATCTTTACAGCAGATCACCCGCACTACAAATATTTCTTTTCACTTCATATTCTAGAGAGTAAAAAGAACACTTTCTCGTACATCTATGGGGCGGCAGTTCTCGTTTAAAGGCAAGATGAATTTTATTTGGCATGTTGCCCATTTGCTGTTTATTGTATGTATGAATGCAGGCATGTGTGTTTTAACAATTATGAGTAATACACTTATGATGATCAATGATTACAATAAGAAAATGTGTACGCTAGAGAAAATTTATATAATTTATGATCATAATTTTATTCAAATAATAATAATAAAATAAATTTGTTAGGAAGAACGAATATATTATACCCTTTAAGGATTCCAAATGATTTTTTTTTTAAACCTATGTAAAATCGTCTTTCGATCCTTAAATTTGTGATCACTTAAATTTTTCATGAAAAAATTATTATACGAGATGTTACATTAAAATCACTTGCATTAAAATAAAAATGTTTAATAAACAATTTACCATTGTTTATTAAAAAATTTATTTATAATCCAAATTGCAGCAAATTGTAATATGTTGTCATAATAATGAATAAAATTTTAATTGACACTACACATGATCCTAACAAGCAACAGAATCATCATGTTTTCGTTTTTTTTTTTTTAATTAAAGTGTTGCAAATTTATTATTTTATTTCAGAATTAATAACAAATTAAAAGTGTATCCCGCCATATAATACAGCAAAGTAGGGACGGAAAATATTACAATACAATATGGGAAAAGAGAGATCTCTAGTTTTGAATACAAAACATTGGAATAGTTTTATTTTTATTTTTATTTTATTTATTTTCTTGTTATGAGTTCAAATTATGAATGAGCAAATGGAAAAATTATTTTTCTTTTGAATATTCTCAATTTAGTCGAACGTTTAAACTCATGGTAAAAAGTTATCGAGCAGAACGCACAAGTGTTAAATGTAGATTTTAAAAAATATATTAAAAAAATATACTAAAACATATTTTGGGAACACACCACCACCACCTATGATTTAATAATTTTTACATAAATTTCAATATTTTTATATTTAAAAAAAAAAAAAATCATAATAATAAAAATAAAAAACTAAGGAAAAAGCGAAAAAGCAAAAAAATGTTTAAATCATCACAGGAAATACGTTTGAATACGGCGAATGCCACTCAATATACGAATCAGAATGATGAAAATAATGTTTGTATTTTTGGAAAATATCTAAAAACACCAGACACTGGTGAGTTTGTGTATAGTATAAATAAGTGTTCTTAGATATTCGAATGCGAGATACGGCTATTAAGTAAAATCTTTGTTCTCTTCAATTTTTCATGAAAAATCGATTTTTAAAAGAACAAGTAAGAGTGCTATATTCGGCTGTGCCGAATCTTATATACCCTTCACCATAGTATATTTAAAAAATATAAATTATATAAAATTTAAATTTATGTACCTATTTAATTTTCCCGATTATATCATTATTATAGCAATAGCAAAACAAGATGAACAACAACAACGCTAAACGAAATAAACACTCAAAAAACAAAATACACAAGGCAGTAAAACCAACAGACATCAAACATACGAAACTGTACACCAACAAACAAAAACAATATACACAAGTTAGAGTGTTATATTCGGCAATGCCGAATCTTATATACCCACCATCAAACCTCGTTTGACTAGAATGAAACTTACTTATGTCGAACTTCATCTATATACTCGTATTTTTTAGGCCAGTTATAAGCGTTAAAGTAATTTTCTGAAGGGGACCTTATATAGGGGGTAGGGTCAATTATGGGTCGATCCTAATATAATTTGGTAGACAGAATTTGGTTCGTATTAAATTTATTTGTGTCGAATTTCATCGCTACACTCGTATTTTTAAGCCATTAATGAGCGTTGCAGTCATTTTCTAAAGGGGACCTTATATGGGGGGTAGAGTCAATCATGGACCTATCCTCATAAAATTTTTTAGATAGATTTTGACTCGTATGAAACTTACTTATGTCGAATTTCATCTATATACTAGTATTTTAAAGCCAGTAATGAGCGTTAAAGTCATTTTCTGAAAGGGACCTTATATGGGGGGTAGGGTCAATTATGAACCGATCCTCATAAAATTTTGCATAATGATTTTGGATCATAAGAAACTTCCATATGCCGAATTTTATCGCTATATTCGTATTTTTAAACAAGCTATGGCTGTTAAAGCTGCTTTTCGAGGGGCCACTTGTATGGGGGCTATCAGAAAATGTGGACCGATATTGCCCATTTTCAATACCAAACAAACCTTACCTGTTAGAAATATTTATGTAAAATTTCAACCCTCTAGCTCTTTCCATTGGGACTCTATCGTGCTTTCAACAGACAGACAGACAGACAGACGGACGGACGGACAGACATGGCTAGATCGACTTAGAATTTAATGAGGACCCAGAATATATATACTTTTGTGGGTCTATGACCAATATTTCGATGTGTTACAAACGGAATGACAAAATCAATATACCCCCCATCTTTTTTGATGGTGGGTATAACAAGGCAATGAAACACACAGCCATCCAAACATACGAAACGAAATACTCGAAAAAAAAAACAAAATACACAACGCAATTATTGAAGATTCGGATCTCGCCGATATCTGGGGTCCTCTAAAAACTGATTTCAACAGACAGACAGACAGACGGACATGGCTTAATCGACTCCGCTATCTATAAGGATCCAGAATATATATACTTTATAGGGTCGGAAAATTATATTATAGAAATTACAAACGGAATGACAAACTTATATATACCCTACTCACGAAGGTGAAGGGTATAAAAACCTAAAACAGTTTCAATATCATTCGATAACGCTCCAATTGCGAAAACAGTGAAAATCTCTGATCACTTTAATTTTCTATCAAAAACCGATATTTAAATTAAAAACATAAAATCGCTTGTAGATCCTTGAATAATGTTCCAATTGCGAAACCAATGATCACTTTAAATTTGCCATTAAAAATACATAGATTTTTATATAGAAAATCGGCCGTTGATATTTAAATAGCGCTCTTTTGTTAATGAATGGAATGAACCGATATAACCCTGCAAAAATTATTGGAGTACATGATTCATTTAAGTAATCCAAAAACTACTCCCGTTTAAACATTATTGGAGTCATGATCCGTTTAGTAGTCCTATGTAATACAGGCATGGATCATGTTTATTTTTTGAAAACAACATGGTCCATAGCCTGCATTATATGTAATCCCCTAATTTAAACAAGTAAGAAATTATAGTCGGGCGAGGCCGACCATATAATACCCTACACCTTTCACAAAGATATAATGTGATTTAGTTGCCATAATAAAGCATTTAAGTTGAATTGTACCTTGCCTTAGATATACATACTTAAGCCGTTTATTGTTGAATAAAATTGTGGACATTTAAGTAAAATTTTGATGGGGGCTTTTCATAGGGGCTAGGGTCATATGAGAACCTATTATTATGGAATTCGTGGGGGTCATCAAGTCTTGTATACAACTTGGTTATTGCAGCTTTTTGTCGAGATATGAGTATATTAAACATAATTATGAACTTAAAAGCCCTATTCGGCGGGTTCAGTTGTATGGGGGCTAGGTGAAATAATGGACCGATGTAAACCACTTTCAACAGACTTCATCTATGGTGCTATAAAAGATCATGTGCCAAATTTCATTGAATTATCTCCAAAATTGCGACCTGTAGTTTGATTACAAGTTTTAAAAGCCCTATTCGGGGGTTCAGTTGTATGGGGGCTAGGTGAAATAATGGACCGATGGTAACCATTTTCAATAGGTTTCGTCTACGGTATCATAAAAGATCATGTGCCAAATTTCATTGAATTATCTCCAAAATTGCGACCTGTAGTTTGATTACACGTTTTAAAAGCCCTATTCGGGGGTTCAGTTGTATGGGGGCTAGGTGAAATAATGGACCGATATTAACCATTTTCTATAGGCTTCGTCTACGATACCATAAAAGATCATGTGCCAAATTTCATTGAATTATCTCCGAAATTGCGACCTGTAGTTTGATTACAAGGATTACAAGCCGTATTGGGGGGTTCAGTTGTATGGGGGCTAGGAGAAATAATGGACCGATCTTAACCATTTTCAATAGGCTTCGTCCCTGGGACAATAGAAGATCATGTACCAAATTTCATTGAATTATCTTCAAAATTGCGACCTGTAGTTTGATTACAAGGTTTACATGGACGGACGGACGGACAGACGGACGGACATAGCTAAATCGACTCAGAAAATGATTCTGAGCCGATTGGTATACTTTAAGGTGGGTATAGGACCAATATTATTGTGCGTTACAAACATCAGCACAAACCCAATATACCCTCCCCACTAAAGTGGTGTAGGGTATAAAAAGGGAGTAGTATATATATATATATATATATATATATATATATATATATATATATATATATATATATATATATATATATATATATATATATATAATATATAGCTTTAATTTAAGTAAGAAACATATTAACCTTTACTATTAGATTTTATTTTTTCAAAATCTAAGAATCGTTTTTCTCAAAACGATATTTTTTGTTTTGAGAGCTTTGTGGTTTCTTAGCGTATTTCCTATGAACTGAGAGATGATATTCTGATAATAATTTATAACTTTTTTCTTTACAGATAAATATTCTACTCAGCCGCCTCAAGTTTTTGTAGCCCCTGAACTTACAGATCCCAATAAAGTACAACTGTTACATTTTCCCAATGGAGCTTTACGCATTAATACAGATGTCAATTTCATTATTAAGAGAAATGGGGTTAAAGGCAACTTTGAAGTTAAGGTATATTATTTACAAATTACTACTTATATATACTTCGAATAAAATAAAAAATTTTTGGTTCCTTTAGTTGGAAAATCCTTCAGGTCATACAACCTATGTTCCTTTAAAAATTGTAGATCCCGAAAGATTTGAGGTTAGTTTTCCATTAACCGAAGCTGGTCTCTATAAAGTACATATCAAATGTAATTCAGTATTACTACCCAAATCACCGTACATAATAGTGGCTATAAGTGGTAGTGATTTGGACAATGATCAACATAAAATGGAGTGTGAGTATTATAAAGAAATTTGATTAATTTTAATGAATAAACCTATGTATATAATCTTCTCTTAGTACCACATTTCAAATCGGATGCTTCGAAAGTTATACATCGTGGTCTTGGCCTCAGTCAAATCGTGTTAAATGAGAAAAATGAATTTACTATAGATGGTTCAGAGGCTGGTAATAATATTTTATTTGTGGGTATATTTGGTCCTAAGGGACAATGCGATGAAGTCGTCATTAAGCATATGGGTAAAAATGTTTATAAAGTTACATATCAGGTACAAGATCCTGGTGATTATCTATTGGCTGCCAAATGGGGTGATGATCATATAACTGGTTCGCCGTTTTCTTTAAGTACCCTGTAAAATTTATGGTAAATTCAAGTTAATACTTAGTTTTTAAAATAATTATTATTAAATAGTTGTAGAATAAATTTTGAAAAATTTAGTAATTCCCATTCCAATGTGTTTTTTGATGGCTAAATTCAACATTTATATGAAAAGTAAAAAAAAGGTGCTGAAAGAAAATCTACGAAAATAATTTACACAAAATGTAAAAATACAAATATACATATATATGTACATATATACATGTATATACGTAGGTACATTAGTCTGGAACCTAAATGAAAGTTGCTGATGTTCATTCTAATACACCTACCTTTTCTTGACCCCTGGAGAAACGGTATCACAGAATGAACAAAGCTTTCATTTTCGGTGGGAACACCAGTACCTTATTTTTTCTCCACCCTAATATAATACAGAGTCTCTTTATTCCGACTTTTGGAAAAAGTTTTTCTATGAAAACTCCTCTAAATACTTAAAAAAAACTAACACATCTCAACAAATACTTGCAATTTTTGCAAACAAGAAGAAGCATTATCATAACAATAATGATTTTGAATTGGGTATCATCAACAATGGCATTAACAACAGAAGCAGCATCAGCACCAGCAAAAGTATCACGAACAGAAACGTAAACAACATTCACACAAACCACTACATACGGCATGATGTAGGTATGTACATACATAATCATCAAACGTATTACGTACAACATCTTCGTCATCAAATGCTACATTATACTCCTCCTTAGCCAGGCAGCTCTTAAATGACTTAACAATTCCCGCTCAATTTTTTTTGTGTTTGTTTCTTTTTTCATCATTAATTTTTCTTACAACATTTAATGATGATTACCATAGACATTATCGTTTTTTCTGTGTATGCCGCAAAATACGTTTACTCTAATGTTCATTCCAATTTGCTTTCTGTTGAGTTGTGTTTTTGGTTTATTTTTTCTCTAGTTTTTTTTTATTATTACTTTCGTGAGTAATAAGAAAATCATCATAAAAACACAACACGCAGTATGTACAACAAAAAAAATAAATAAACGAGCAAATAACCAACAACAACAATAACTTCAAATTCAGCAGCAACAATTCAGTCAACTTAATGATGATGACCTGTAATGTTTTGATTCCTTTCAATACATTTTTGGTATGAATGAATGAAGGTATGTATGATTAAATGTGTGGACGTACATACATATGTCTGGTCTGAACAAGAGCGACAACAATTTTTGATTTCATTTAATGGTTGACTCTACTCTACTACACCTACCAAAATGTTTAGAGTACTTTACCTTAACGACCTACAACTTGTATGATTATGATGATGACGAAATGAAATTTTATGTTTTTGTATTAAAAAAGAAGGAAGAAAATATACTCGGTCATGCCCGACCATATGTACCCTACACCAGTCGTTTTATTAACTCTCCAAATGACCTAGTGCAGTTTATAGATCTAGTAGTTTACATCACCATATCATTTGGTTCATTTAACATAATTATGAGCTCCAAAGCTATATTAGAAATGTCCCGTTGTATGGGAGCTATGTATGTGAAATAATTGACCGATTTAAACCCCATTATAGAGGTGTAGGGTATAAATATAATTATACTTACTACGTTTGATTGAATGCCCATAGCGTTAAGTAAACTGTGAAAAGTCAAAAGTGTAGATCGAAGTTGACCGTTTTTGAAGTTTAAGATATTTTGGTTGTACCTGTTGTAGCAATTCTTATCGTAAGATAGACTAGTAGGGTTCTATAGTTGAAACGAAAAGTCGACTTTTCGACTTTTTTCATTTAGTTAAAAGTCGACTTTTCGACTTTTTGCATTTTATGAAAAGTCGATTTTTCGACTTTTTTCATTTAAATAAAAGTCGACTTTTAGACTTTTCGAATATAAGTATTTTATAAATAGTCGACTTTTCGACTTTTTCCGACTTTTCGACTTTTTTCGACTTTTCGATTTTTTCGACTTTTTGACTATTTTCGACTTCTTTCTACTTTTTTCCGACTATTTTTTGACTTTTTTCGAGTTTTTCCGACTATTTTAGAGTTTTTGACTTTTTTCTCCACTTTTTTTAAAATTTTTGACTATTTTCGATTTTTCGACTTTTTCCGACTTTTCGACTTTTTACGACTTCTCGACTTTTTTCGACTTTCTTTGACTTTTTTCGACTTTATTCGACTTTTTTCGACTTATCGACTTTTTTCGACTTATCGACTTTCAGACTTTTCGACTTTTATTCACAAAGTCGACTTTTCGACTTTTTTCACAGACGATAGTCGAGTTATCGACTTTTTTGGAACAAAATAGTCGACTTCGACTTTTCGACTTTTTTCGACAAAAAGTCGATTGTTCGATTATTCGAAAGTCGATTTATAGAACCCTATAGACTAGTAGTCTCTGCCAGTGTATTAGTTGTTTCTACTTTTAAATTTTTAATTTTTTGAATGTGGTGGTGTTATGTAAAATAATAAACTTTTTTGCAAATACGAATCTAGTTGAAATGAAAAGTCGACTTTTCGACTTTATTAGACCGTTTTTAATTTTGACTTACGACACACCAATACATCATATCCACAAATATGTGCATGCATATATACATTAGGGTGGCTCCAAAATTCAAATTGCGAAATGATCAAACAGGTGTGTATGTGCGATTATAAAAATATTTAAAAAAATTTCAAATTTTCAGAGTTTGTTAATAATGTAAATTATTTTATTTACTTAAAACAAATCCATCTTGCTAGTGTTTTATTTTAATTTTTCAAAACTAATTTTTGATAACTTATCATTTCTAAAAATGTTTGTCCTCGGGTACATCGATTGTATTACATACATACATATGTATATAAAAATCAAACAAATTCGCATCACTAATGACCTGCAAGTTTTCAAAGTTTTTTGAGAAATGATAATCTTTCAATTTCGATGTGAACATCAGTACCATACAAACAAGTCCATCCTAATATACTAATATACATACATACATCATTCTTATTTGCACTCACATTTTATATGAATGAATGAAACAAGATAAATTGCATAAAATATTTCATACAAAATTGCGAATATGGAAAAACTTTACACCGAACAAAATAATTAAATTATATTTTTTATTAAAGTTTCTATAAATAATCGGTAGTAGGAGTAAATGTAAAATATAATTTCTTTCATTATTGGAATTTAGTTGATTATCATTTGATTTTCTTTCTATCCTAAAACTTGTATGTAATGTCAAAAAGTAATACCTTGAATTTTTTGTGTAAATTATCACCGCTTCAATTATCTGAATTTTATTATCTTTTAACGCCACAAACATTGGAGTAAAATTCGTTATTTTAAGATGTAACAGTTAGCATACGGTAAGTACTTAGTAGTCATTGAAAAGAAAGTGGTTATGTTAGTACAAGCCATTACCAAGTTTTTGCTAGAATGGTAAAAAATTGTACTTACGTAACAACTTACTTCTCAATGGCTGCCACATACCATTTGAAGTCCAGCAATGACTTACAAATAACATTATATGTAAGTTCTTACTTTCTAGCCTTGATATATTGTTTTTTAATAACTTAAATTGGTATGCAAATTTTAGCATTTTAACCCCTTAGTTAGTAATGCTGGGAATGAATGATTTCCAACAAAAAGTGGATGTGGATAATATAATAATAACTGATTTTAATTTTAAAGCTAAATTTAAAATTCATTCAATTAACCATTATTTTTTCAAGTGTACGAGAATTATACGATTATATAAAAAGTTTGTTGGTCTGGATATTGTATTACCCTTAGTCACATACATATACATATACACTATCGGACAAAATAAAGTGCAAAAGTACTCATGTTATATTCTTTCAGCGAAAAATCTGTTAAATGATTACTGAATATGGAATTTTTTAAAATTCATTTAGTTTATATGCAATGCTACAAAAATTACAATAAAACAAAATCATTCCACCTAAAATTTTTCTGTATAACATCCAAAATTAAAGTAAATTCACCTTTTTGTCGGACAAAATAAAGTGTAAATTTTATATATCATTATTTAAATTTTTTGTATATCAAAATTTTTTATCTATTTTGGTTCTGATTTGAATATCTGGATCTACTTAATCCATTTTTTTAATTTTTTTACCATTATTATTCGCAATCGCCTTCCCTTCCCCTTGCTTTCCCCCATACGATTATTTTCAAATGAAATCCGTTTTTGTTCGCTATTTCAGCAGAATTTTTTATCAATTGTGGTCAAAAATTAATCTATTGGATTTAGGGCGATGGTCTGAGTAGGTCATTCCAATTTTTCAGTGTTTTTTTTTCTTACAGTAATGTTTTTAACCTTTGTCGTGTGTTTGAAGTCATAAATCTGTTGAGGCATTAAGTGTCCCAAATCCATTTTTACGGCATTTATTTAAAAAAAAAATTATTAAATACGCTCGTGAATTGCTCAATTGTTATTGTTTACTCCATCTTCACTAAGATTCCCGCTCCTAAGGTTGAATAATGTACCAATACCGATAGCCCCCCACCATAATGTTTAAAACCTGGGGTATTGTTTTTAAAATATTGTATATTGAAGGGTTTAACTCACACTCATTGTCGACATTTTAAAATTTTCGGCACAAATTAGGACTCATCTGACTATCTACGCAAATTTGAGGTAAAAAATACAAAATTAAATACTAAAACCGAAAAAAAATTTCCATGCTTTTAAATGTGTTGGTGAAAGATTGAACGTATGGGTCAGTTGACTCTTCGTATGTGTTTAATTTTTAATGTTAGCTGTGGGGAACCTAGGGGAAATTTATTCAAAAAGCTCTAGTGAACACTATTACAGTCAAATCTGAGCATATTACAGTCAAATCTTAAGATCAGTGCCTTCGAAATGGACTTGGGCAACTTTATATCTCGGAAAGATAATAAGCTTAAGCGCTTGATAAAGTTAAAAAATAGCATTACTGTAGGAAAGAACACTGAAAATTTTAATAAGTTGCTCAGAGCACCGCCCTAAATCCAATAGATTAATTTTGGACCACAATTGATCAAAAAATTCGATGAAATAGTGATCAAAAACGGATTTCTTTTGAAAATAATCATATGCGAAAAGCAAGGGGAAGGAAAGGCGATTGTGAATAACAATGGTGAACAAAATTACCAAAATGGCTTAAGTAGATCCAGATATTCAAATCAGAACCAAAATAGATAAAAAAATTTTGATATACAAGAAATTTAAATAATGATATATAAAATTTACACTTTATTTTGTCCGACAAAAAAATTGAATTTACTTTTATTTTAGAAGTTTTACAGAAAAATTGTAATTACAATAATTTAGTTTTATTGTTATTATTGTAGCGTTGTATATTAACTAAATGATTTTGAAAAAAATTTCCATATTCAATAATCATTTAACCGATTTTTCGATGAAAGAATATAGCATGAGTACTTTTGCACTTTATTTTGTCCGATAGTGTATATGTACATACTCACCAAATGAATGAATTGAAGAACATTAGTTGCAGCAAGCAAATGGTATTATACATACATACATATGTACATATTTACACGTACGTATGTATGTATTTCATTTAAGAGAAAGTCATGATGACAAGTAATAATGGTAGTAAGTATGATTAGTATATTGTATGGATTTGGCAATTTACAAGAAAGATATGTATGTAATTTTTAGAATTTGATTATACACATGTACTTAATTAATAGCTACAATATTCAAAGATATTGTTGTACCTATAGTACGTATGAATGTGGTGACAATGCAAATAAAGTTAACAAAATGTCTAATGAAATTTAAAAATGCTGTAGGGATTGAGTAAGTCCATCTTACTTATAGGGTATATTTTGAATTAAGTAAGATAAAATTTATATAATATGGAGGATTTGTAATATTGTATCCGGTTCCCATCTGGTATCACTGAAACCAGAGAGGGCCATTAGACTTGTTCTCTACTGATTTTTGGTGAAACCTCAAAATAAAACGAAGACATTTTCGTTTAAATATAGGTTGATAGTGTTATTATTTATGAGTGCCTCAAGATTGAGATTTTTGTTCAGATTTGATGTTCGCGGAAAGTGATTAAAAAATATTTGAACATGATTAGTGAATAAATTAATATCAAATAAAATAATACAACAAGGACGCAGGGAATAAGATGGAAGTCATCGCATATAGAACTGCAAAGATTATATGGTCTAACCATGAACATTTTGCAAGCCTGAGATGTTCACTAGCCATTGACTTATAGAGCTACAAGTTAGGAGACTAAATTTCCCCCTTAATGTAGATTTGATTGGAATTGTCAGAAGTAAGTCTTAGAAGGAAATCAAGTTTGCTATAACACCAGAATATTTTCCTTCGTATATAATAAAAATATTTCAACAAATAAACAAAAATTATTTAAATAATATGTAGTTACTGTTAATTTCATACATTTATATGAAAAATCACAAATTCAATCTGGCAATACTTTAGTAACAAATATAACACAAATGACTAGCAATTTCCTCCACTCATATAGGGTTGCCAAGTGTTTTCCCTTCGATTAAACAATAATAACTCGATAAATAGGTATTATTTTTTCATCAATTTATTCATGACTTACAAAATATATATTAGACTTTAGCATCGCGAGAGTGATTTTTTAACGCTTTTATCCTATAGTACACGGTGTGACAAAATTACAAAAAGTTAATGTACTTTCTACGTGACCTAGTGTATGTTTGTAGGTCTAGCAGACCAACTAGCTAACCAATCAAACAAAAAACAGCCATTAAAGAAGTAAATAACTGATGAGGAGGAATTCCATCGTCACTCCATAGATTATAAAGAGACTTTCATAAAGCTAGTCCAAGGAAGGCAATACATAACAATTAATCTTTCCGCTTAAGTTTTTTTTTTTTGTCAAGTGACTACTCCTTATATATGAATTTTTCGACTTTTGTCATTTAATTAAAAGTTGGCTTTTATTTTATAAATAGTGGACTTTTTTGAATTTTCGACAATTTTTTACTTTTTTCGACTATTTTCGAGTTTTCCCGACTATTTTAGAGTTTTTTACTTTTTTTTCACTTTTTTCGAATTTTTAAAAATGTTTGACTCTTTTCTACTATTTTCGAGTTTTTGACATATTCCGACTATCTTCGAGTTTTTCCGAATTTTTGACTTTTTTCCGACTTCTTCGACTATTTACTAACAAAGTCGACTTTTACACTTTTTTCAGAAACGATAGTGGAGTTACTAGGGTTCTATAAATCGACTTTCGAATAATCGAACAATCGACTTTTTGTCGAAAAGTCGAAGTCGACTATTTTGTTCCAAAAAAGTCGATAACTCGACTATCGTCTATGAAAAAAGTCGAAAAGTCGACTTTGTAAATAAAAGTCGAAAGTCGAAAAAAGTCGAAAAGTCGAAAAAAGTCGAAAAGTCGGAAAAAGTCGAAAAGTCGGAAAAAGTAGGAAAAAGTCGAAAAGTCGAAAATAGTCGAAAATTTTAAAAAAGTGGAAAAGAGGTCAAAAACTCTAAAATAGTCGGAAAAACTCGAAAAAAGTAAAAAATAGTCGAAAAAAGTCGAAAAAAAGTCGAAATAAGTCGAAAATAGTCAAAAAGTCGTAAAAAATCGAAAAGTCGGAATAAGTCGAAAAGTTGATAAAAGTCGGAAAAAGTCGAAAAAAGTCGAAAAGTCGAAAAAAGTCGGAAAAAGTCGAAAAGTCGGAAAAAGTCGAAAAGTCGACCATTTATAAAATAAAAAAAGTCGAAAAGTCTAAAAGTCGACTTTTAAATAAATGAAAAAGGTCGAAAAGTCGAAAAATCGACTTTTCATAAAATGGAAAAAGTCGAAAGGTCGAAAAGTCGACTTTTAACTAAATGCAAAAAGTCGAAAAGTCGACTTTTCGTTTCAACTATAGAACCCTAGGAGTTACCGACCTTTTTGGAACAAAATAACCGACTTCGACTTTTTTCGACAAAAAGTCGATTGTACGATTATTCGAAAGTCGATTTATAACACCCTAATGTATATACGAAATCGCAGAAATCTTAAAAAGTTTCCCGGCACACACTATAATATCCTCAATTTTAACGCAACACCTTAAGAATGGCAATCCTATGTAGCACATCTCCCAGTCATCAACATTTAATGATGATGAGCTCTGCTACCGCAACAACATCAAGAAGATGAAAACATATTCAAGAGAAACGAAAGGCCATTAATGAAGTTTTTTTTTAAGCATTTATATACATGTCTCACTCTAAACATAACATACAGTAAAACATAATTGAGTTAACATTACAGTTTGCGTGTTGTTGTTATTATTTATTTTGTGTCTACATCATCATCATGACAGGTTTGACTAGAACAGTCATTAGCATGAGAGTAAAAGGGAAAACACGAGACCACTCTCAATACAAGAATATAATGATTTTCATTTTAAAGACGAACAAAACGAAAAAGAAGAAATAAAAAATACTAACGAAGTTCGTGTTGGTAGACTAGGAAATTTTCTCAGTCTTGGTTTGATGTTCGACAGAGTTGTTTGTTTTTTCGGTAATATTTTTCACGAGTGTATAATTATTATTGTACAAAGAGTAAAAAATACAACAACAACTAACACTTAGTTAATTACATCATTTATATAATTTTCATTAAAAAATCTAAGAACAAAAAATTAAATAATTATTATTAAAACAAGAACAACAGAAACAAACAAAAAAAAAATCAAAATATGATAAATGTGTAAATGAACTTATACCTATATGCTGTGAAAAGTGTGGAGGTGATTTTTCTTATCAGATGGCCGGGCACAAATTAAACAAGTAATAATCAAATTGTATTGTAAAAAATGCATGAAAATTTTTTCTTATTATACATATAGAAAAAAGGGTGTCTTCTTCTTTAACTTATAAATACGTTTAGACAAATATACATATTTACATATGTATTTATTATATACCGTATGTATATTTGTACCTCTTTGTATAATATTTTGTTGCACCCAACAAAACATACATATACACAGAATAAAATCCCTGGCAAGTGTACGCGCCTTATAAAATACAGAAAAAATATAAAATCAGAAAAAAACTTATTGGTTGACTTGAATCGTCTTCTTTTCCTGCTCTTTGTGTAGTGTATGTGAACGTTGTTTTTTGTCGTTGTGTATTCCAAGCAAGTATACCTACAAAAATACATTTTTTTCATAAGTTTAAGGCCCAGAAAATGGAAAAAATCGAAAAATTTTATAGTTTAGGTGAAATGTGTAAGTTTTCTTTGATTTGTTTATAATGCACCGGGTTTTTTATTATTGTTTTTGTTGCAAGTCGAGCACAGCAGCAAAAAAAAGTATGTATATAATAATTATATTTGATAATGATCATTGTGGAAAAAATCTATAATTATCGCAAAACGATTTAAGTAATTATTATGTCTCTAACATAGCGTTGGCATTTTTTCTCAATTCGTGTATGTATGTAGACATGTTTGTTTTTTATATGAGAGCAAGTGTACACACTCACTCATACAGTAACAGCGCGCATATCATGATTATTATTTCTCTCCCTCTCGCTCTAAATGTAATCTGTAGATTTTTTATAAATTTTTGAAAAAGTGTGTTTTTTATAAATTAAATTTTTAATTTTACAAAATAAGTATACATAAAAATACATTGTTAATTTATAATAATTAATTTTTTGCAAATTATTCTTATTATTTTATCACTTAACTCTCTGTTATTGTTTTCGTTATACCTATTCCCTTCCGCTAATTACACAATTCCAATCAACTTGTTGTGTTCTGTTCTTCATTAATTTTGCACAAAAAAAAAAAAAAACACATCATCATTATCGGTATCGGATCATTATGAAAATTATGTTTTTTTCGGATTTTAATGATAATTATAGTTATTGTATAAAAACCTAATAATCGTAATGATAATTACAGTAATTTTTTGTGTTTTGTTTTGGTCTTCAATTCAAAATTTATTACACTGCAAAGTGTACAATTGTTATGTTTTGATTTCCGGCAATTTTTTCATCATTTAATTGTTTGGATTTTAGAAATAATTATTTAATAGGTACATATTGGAGATCTTTTTGAAGTTTAAGAGATTACTTATGTTAGATAGATACTAATCAGAGGAAAAAAGTGTAAAAAATTAGAATTAGTTTAAGAATATTTTATAAAAATTTTTTGACTGTAAATTTGATTTTCGTACCAAATTACTTGCCGAAGGACTAACTACATACGTAAGTTTTTTTCTGTTTTATCAGTTAAAGTTGAAAAACATTTTGATTAAATGTTATCATTCTTAGATCCTGATAAAGCATTATTATATGTAATAATGCGAAATTTGGATTAGCTTTCCCAGTTCAAAGTTACATATTATTGATATTAAAAATCAAAAAATGATCATTGAGTAGACCACCGTACCATATTTAAAATTTTTAGTATATATTCACTGAAAATCGGAAGTTATCGCAAAAAAAAAACGGATTTTTTTATTGTTATATATTTTACTATAATATAGACTATCCGAATTTATGTTATTTTCTAAATGATTTTATTTTAACTTCACCAGATTCCATTTATTGCAACAATTTCGAAAAATAAAAAATTTAGCTATTTTTTATTTAAAAGTGACCCTCTTCTGTTTAGTAAAACAAAAAGTAGTTTTTAAGAAGGTAGTTAAGGTGGAATTTCAATTCCACTTTAAAAACTGAATGTGTTTTCATTCCAAAAGAAATTTTTGAAGAAGCCCAACTAGAACTATAAGATTTTTTTTATAATCTTTAAATAATGAAAAACTAAATTATACAATTTTCTCCATTATAGAATCATGAATGGACTTTAAATTATAATTTCGTGTGTATGGCTCTAATACATACAACATTCATGTATTTAGAGTAGCGCCTCCAAATTAAAAGGAAGTGTCTTCAGAGAGTTGACTTGACCATTGTGATACCCATGTGAAATGCCTGTAAGTTATAATTGTTAACCTTATTTCTTTAACTTATAAAAACTAAAAGATTTATTATATTTCATTTCTCTCCACTAGTATGAAAAATTCAATAAAAAGCGTAGACAATGGGAGGATAATGGAGTTTTAGAGTTAATTAAATTATGGAAAGTTTGTGCCTATGAATTGCGCACTATTAAACGCAATGGCCATCTCTATGTGGCTATGGCAAAGCAATTGACCGGTCTTGGAGTACCCGTAACTGCATTAGAAGTACACTTTAAAGTGAACAATTTAACACAACGCTATAGACAAGAACAGAAAACCTTTGAAGCAACTGGTATAATAAGTACATGGAAATTTTATAATCAGGTGGATGATGTCTTTAAAAGCTTGGGACAAACAGGCTATACAAAGTATGTACTGAATATGTCTTGATGAATGAATGTGTTATTAATTACTTTTATTGTTGTTTTGTTGAATAGAGATAAACGTATTATGACCCCAGCATCTAATGCTAGCAGTTTACCGTCTTCATCCGAGTCACCCGTTTGGAAAAATCAAATGTCTCAACAAGAGTTTAACAGTAATAATTCCGAGGGATTTTACAAGTAAGTATTGAGAGATTTAAATTCCATTAAGAATATAACACGTTTATTCCCATTATTTATAGATCGGAATATGGCATGCACCGGCATTTCATAGATCATACGCAGGCCCAGGCTGCTAATGGTGCTGGTGGTGCCACCGGCAGCGGTGCTGATGTTAATTTTATGGCGAATACAGCGGCTGCTGCAGCCGCTGTTGCTGCCGCCTCACGTCTAAATGAAACAAATCAAATGGATCAATTAAATGCTGCCGCCACGGCTGCTTCCTCCAATAATGCCACCAACGGTGGTGTCTTAAACTATAATAAAATCAAAAAATCACCCGATGATTACGATAAATTTGTGGATATTGTCAAAAATATTGTTGATTCACACAAAACCACCCCAGACAAAGTCGATACTTTTGGCGATTTTATAAAATCCTACATAAAACGCTGGCCTGAACGCCTCCAAGATGAGGCTATCAATCATATAACAAACTATATAATTGTTAAGAATATGGATCATACCATGCACAGCACCATCGAGGGTGTCAATAATCGACAATAATATAAGAGTGAACCTAGAAACTAGGTTCACGTACATAATAATTAAATAAAATTAATTCTATAATCACAGCAACAACATCAACATCACATGCATATAAACAATAAATGTTACTTAAGTTGATTTTTAATTTAAATTTATATTTTATTTTTAATTAAAACATTTCAATAGAAATCATTATAAGTTTTTAGTTTAAGTTTGTCTCATTTTAAAGATTTTTAAATGTTAAGCAACATTTAAGTTTTTTATTTTAACTACGGTTTAACAATAATTTTTAACTACAACCCTTTAAGTTATTTAAAGAAAAACTAAGATGCATACAATAAATAATTAATTAGGCTTAAAGCTTAGTTTTTAACTAAATTAGTTTATTTTACATTTTTAGTTATATTTTTCTTATTAATGTAAGAATTACACTTAATACACATATATAAATATGCTTATTTTTAGTTTTAAAGTAAATTTAAAATTGAAATCAAATTCAAACAGAAATTATACTTAAAACAAGAATTCAAAATCAAATGCGATTTATATACATATATAATTAATTTTTCTATTGATGTAAACATGTTTCCTTAAAAAACAACAACAAACATTTAAAAATCAATAAAAAGAAACAACAAATAGATTATTTTTTTTTTTAATCAAAATAATGAAAGGACTAAGGGTTTTTATCTAATAAATTTTTGATTATTAATGAATTTTTAATGGTTATCTGGAACAAGAGGTTTTAAAGGTAACGGATATTCTGTTAGTACTTGTAACCAGGCTTGGAAAATTCAATACTATTGTACATTTTTTCCACAGTATTTTGAGTATTTTTATATACATATATACATACTTCACCTATGTGAAAATGGTATATATTTTTGTCATTCCATTTGTACTTTTTACAATACATACAAGTAAGAAAGTATAGTCGGGCGCTATCGACCATTAGGAATATTAAATGTGATTTATTTTTAATAATAATTCATTGTTCCGATACATTTAAGCAATTTATGGATGAAAAACTAATTTTCTGAAAGAGGCTTTATATGGGGGCTAGGGGCAAATATGGACCAAGCCCGATAAAGTTTTGTGAATATACATATTTATATTTACTAGAGTTCGCCCAGCGGTCGAAATTCGACCAGAACCTATGCTGGAAAAAATGCATAAATATGCTAAAATAAAACCCTTTTTTTGTAGTTCAAATCTGCGGTAAAAGTCCCATCAGAAGTTCAAAACCTCAATTGTCAAAATTAGTTATACAACTTGTTTTACAAAAGTATTTGAACTATTTTAAAAATAATAAATAACGAACATTTCTTCTATCGACTTATTATCCCCTACATATTTACGCTACGTTCACAATGCTGGAGTACTCTACTGTACACACCAAGATACGTTAGCTGCTCAAAATACAGAGTGGAAATGTTCTAAATAATTTGTCAAAACAATAAAAATATTTAAAATAAATAATGTCTTATCTAATTATAAATAAATTTTATTTGGATGTCATTAGTAGTCCTTCCATCAAGTATATGCTGTATAAATTCTCCCTTATAACACTCGACAAAGACTTCAGCAGACCTACATTTATTAAATAAACGATAAATTGCTAAGTACGGTTAAACACTCTTCATCCCAAAAGACATGATTTATATTTAGCAGTTTTATCTATTTGTATATAGCATATAACCATCACCTATTCAACTTACAGTTTTCACTTTACACTACTATTTCCTAATTGGTTAGAATAACCCAAAAAAGAAGAATATCATCAAATCCTCGCTGTGCTAAACCTGCATATAAGCGATATACCTATCCATTTATTGCGGTGTATCATGTACCGGCATGACGAACTAAACTTTACTTACATATATTTTATACAGGCTTTTTTATTACTTACTGACACTGAATCAAATTCGTTAATCCATCATTTAAATCTTCCAAATCAAAACTAATAATTATGTATCAATACATAACTTTTGACATTCTTATAGTTTTCCGATCTTTGTTTTTAAAATATTCTACGGTCGTTAAAAAGTTAGGGAATTGAAAATTCGTTAATGTAACCGATATTTGTCATTACTTTACGATATCAATACTTAAAATTAAAACAATTACTGAATTCCGGTACTGATGTCCTACCAATATTTTTCCAGGTCAAACATCAATATCAGTACATTTTTTGGCATATCTTGAGGTGTCCCCAAACATTATTTACACATGTTTTTATATTCGCAGTTCGTTGTTTCCTCAGGAAAGTCCTTCAATTTAATTATTTTGAAAAGTTTAAATAACGAAAAACCTTCAATCGAAAACTCTAAATATAAAACTGAAGTCCTACTTCTTATAAAAATATTCGATTTGGTAACAATCGTAACGATGTTATAACAAAATAGATCATTATCTCATTCACAATTTAGCACTTTACACAAAAATATAAAACAATAAAATCCTGTTTTCGCATTGCCTGAGCCTGTTTACATACTTATTTGTTTACAAAAATCTTATTAAAAGCAACAAAAACAAATATCATGCAAAATATAAAAAGAAAACAGCAACAGAGAAGTTAAACGTTTCTGCACTCTCCTCTCTTTTTTTCAAAAAGCCGTGTTGTTTACTTTTTTGTTTTGTTTCATGCTTTGTTTGTTTGTTTGTTTTTAATTTCAAGAATACGTACGTGTGACTATTGTTTCTATGTATTAGTAACAACTTTAAACGCTTATAGCTCCTAAAATTCTGAACCGATCTCATTAATATATATATTGTGCACATCTGTGAACAAATACCTTTAAAATGATATATTTTTTGCCAAGATCAGATGTATACGGTAAGAGTAAAAGGGGTCACAAAAAATCGTCTTGCCTATTAATTATATAGATATAATATTTATTTGTGCTGAATTTCATCGCGATATTTGTGTTTATAAGTTAATTTTGGACATTCAAGTAATTTTCTGAAGGTGACTTGGTATGGGAGCTAGGGTCAAATCAGGCCCAATCTTTATGAAATTGGGCAAGGTCATAGCTAAATCGATTCAGAAAACGATTCTAAGCCGATTGGTATACTTTAAGGTGGGTATAGGACGAATATTTGTGTATGTTACAAACATCAGCACAAACCCAATATACCCTCCTTACTAAAGTGGTGTAGGGTATACAAATTCTGAGTCCTTTAGACTTGCCCGTCTGTTCTTATGTACATATGTTGATATCAGTTTTAAGTAAAGACCTCAGAAAACTGCTAGATCCGAATTATTAATAATTCTAGTTACCCTTTTTAATCAGGGATTAACATGGTTGATAATTATTAGAATCAGAAAGAGTAGGCTTTCCAGACCATAGATTAGTGCTATTCTATAATACCTATAAAATTTATTAAAATATCGTAAAATAGTATTTTAATTGTAAAATCTGAAAAAGTTGATATTGTTTCCAAATTTACATTTTTCATTCCTGATCACAACCAAATTATGGTTATTTAGGATGCTAAAATAAGTTAACTTATCTTTCCTTCAAAATTCCATTGTCAATGTAATTTTATAGACATAAATTTATGTTTTCAATAATTCTACCTTAAAAACCGTTGTTTATAAAAATTTGGAAAAAAAAAAATAAATAAGGTTGGCAGTTCGAATCAAAACATATGGCAACAAAAATAATACCACTTAAAGTTTCACAAATCTCAGCTTTTGTATATCTCATCGAGATTATTTATTAAAATAGTTGCGAAAAAATCAACTAATAATTGTGACAATTTCGTAAATTTTCATTAAAAATTAAACAAAATTTTATAACATTCCGCTCAAGTAAATAATAACATGGCCGGTGTAGAACTTTGCTCAACGTTCGATGTATATGCTTCGCCTCAGATATTTTCGTGTTTTCGCGCCTAATTCGAGTAGCTGCTTTGACTTCAAACCAGCTTCGTTGACGTCAACGGAGCTACACATTTTTACATTGCTGGTATGTTATACCGTAAAGGGCTAGGGTATCGAACATGTGTATTTCAAATGGGAAGTGCAGTTGATGTCAATTCTGCCGACTGCGAAAAGAAATTCTGCTAGAATTTTTCGCGCCAAGCTGTTTTCTGCATTTTTTATTTGCCACAAAAAATCTGTTGTGTGTGTGTGCGAAAATCTAAAATGACAGAAATGATATATTCTTTAAATAAAAAAATAATGTTTTACTAAAAATTGAAATTAATAAGCAAAGAATATAAAGAAATTGGGGCTTGTCAGTTGGTACGTAAAGGAGTTGTCATTCGGTACCTAACTCTAAGTATGTATTGGTAGAATTTTTGTATTAGTATTGGAGCTCCAACCACTTTCACCACACTTTCCAAACATACATACTTGCATAAAATCGTACATAAAAATTTTAGGAAAAATAAATAACATTTAAATTTCTACATTCGCAGATTTTTTAATTTATTTTGCCCACATCTAATCAGTAAACATTTAATAAATATATTTTTCGGACTTAAAATCTCTTTTTTTGCAAAAAAAATAAGTTTATTTTAAATAATTTTTTCATTTTCAATACCAAAATATACAACTTTGTTTTGTCAATTTTAATTTCAACACACAAAAATTAATTGTCAAAAAAATTAAAAAAATAATTTTTTAGTTTGTGAAAAATAAAAATATTTCGGATTGTTAAATGCGATAAAATTGTGTAAAAAAATAAAAAATAGTTATGTGTTTGTGAAAAAACGTCGTTCAAGTCCTATTATCCCGGTATTTTCGCGAAAAAGTTTTGAAGTATTGTGAGAGAATTGAGTTCTCACAAGTGTGTTGAATTTACACAGAACTCGTCTGTGAAGAGAAGGAAATGTTATTGTTGTAAAACAATGTCATAGTCCAACTTCTTATTATTCTTTGTTAATAAGATTGTATGCTATACTACTATACCGAGGGTCATTGTACAAAGAAACAGCAAGTGTTGGGTTGAATTTATTTAAATTGTTAATAATTATGATGAAATTTTTTTAAGGCGGGATTTGTTTTCGTTTATTTATTTGTCTATAAAGAACGTCTTTCTTTTCAAGAAAGAGGAGGCATCATGATGGTCTCCTGAAAGAATGCCCACATATATACCTCCCTAGTCACCTAGGCGGGTGGTGGTCGGTCGGCTAGTGGTGACATGGTATATTATCACCTAGAGGCAATGGACGGAAGCTGATTGCCGTATTCAGGGGGTATCCTTGGGATACATACTTATTATTATACCATTGATCTCAGCAGAATCACTACCATACACCCATAATAGAGCGCGATGTCTGTCTGGTGTGCCCTTCAGTGAAGCTCTTGTTGTCTCCAAACACTATGGTGGCCGAATATTTACAAGAAACAATTGTTAAGCCGCCTTTTATACAAATTTATAGCTTTGTAGAGAATGTCTTCACGGACCTAGAGGATAGAGGTACTAACCATTGTGGGCTTTATGTCGACTTTAGGTCCCTTATAGTTGCCACACTATACCAAATAAGCATTCTTGCTGGAATTAAAGTTTAAAACAAGTTTAATTCCAGTCAAACATTCAAATTTCAAGTGTTGAAATACACTTTAATTCAATAGCATTCTCCAGTGAAAACGAAACTTGAATTCAAGTCGAACATTACAATGTTTTTACAGTATAATTCAATGCACGAAATCTATATATGTACATACATACGTACATATATAAAATTCAAAGGTTACTGACTGACTGACAGATTCATCATCGCACAGCCTAAACGGTTTTAGCTAAAGAGCTGAAATTTGCACAGGAGGTTGGTCTCCCACCAAATAGATCCACTAAGACGGGATTTTTGGAAATTCGAATGATTAGGGGGTTAAAAATGGTAAAAACGGGTAAATTCGGTAACCTCATATCTCCTAAACTATAAAAGATACAAAAACAGTTTAAAGCTTATTATCGTCATTCATTTAAAAAATAAGCGGACAGGTGTCTGGTACTTTTTTCAAATTCGGCCCCTTTGGGGAATAAACGGGTAGAAATTGTAATTTGGTACTTCTTTTGCACCCCATGTATCTTTTAAACCAGAGAACATTCAAAACATATTTTTGAATCCTTCATAACTTGACGAACAAATAAAAATATGAATTTAGTACTTTTTGGATATTCGGACGTTAAAGGGGTTAAGATTGTACCTATTTTTGGTACTTTTTTATAAAACATTGTTTTTGGTTTATTAACTTATACATATGAATACATAATAACGGGCTCCCAATACGATGTTGCAACTGGTACTTTTTTGACTTAGAACTTAGAAACATGTAATTAAGCACTTGAGAATCTATAAAAGTGGACTTTTTGGTACTTTTTCGTTCTTCAAAAGGTACTTTTTGAGTTTTCTATTTTTCGTTCTTCGACTGGTACTTTTTGAATTTTTTATAATATTGAACCTAGAAACATGAATTTAGGAATGTACAGCCCGGATTAAGTAATAACATATAAAAGGGAACTTTTTGGTACTTTTTCGTTCTTCAACTTGTACTATTTGGATTTTCTTTTATAATGAACCTAAAAACATAAAACTAAGCAATCAGGGACTTGAGTGAATGAAAATGTAAACTGGAGTATTTCTGGTAATTTTTCGTTCTTTAACTGGTACTTTTTGAATTTTCTAAAATATTGAATATATAAACATAAAATTAAACACGCAGTATCCTAATTGAACGAAAATTTATCTCGCTTACGTCCATTTTGCAAAAAGGGCTCGATATCAATCGAAATCTCTATAGGCCATAGTTGACCCTGCCTCCTTCAATAATTGATTTTAACGTTTTCTACGTACTTAATAATACCATAATAAAACAATTTTTGTTGGAACGAAAATATGTAATGAAATCTTCTTCAGAAAATGACTTAAACGCACATAAATGGCTTTTAAATGTCGATGTCGACGAAATAAACATTTTTAGGAACCGAAACCCACATTTATGAAAAATAAAATTATGAGGATCGGTCCGCCAATATAACCCTCTTACAGAAAATCAGTTTATAGCTAATACATCATTCCAAAAGTTATCATTATGATGGAATTATGGTAGAATTAAAAAAAAAAAAATACTTTAAATTATATATATTATTGATCCAATTCCACATTTAAGTCCCTAATCCGAAAATCACGGTGACGTTCTTATTAATCTAATGATCGGACCACTTCCGAAATTTGCTTTTTTACGACATATGATTTGCCTTACTTATTTTAATCATAAAATACCACTAAAATAGGAATAGTCTTCCTTTAGAGTTGCGAGTTTTCATACATTCTAATAATGTTTTCAAAGTGAAACTTTTGGAATATTTTTCAATCTCTTTGTGATCCCTTTAAATGATGTTGTTCTGGAAGAACTTTAACATCCATGTAAACATTTTGGGTAATAAACTGGGGGACTACCAATGAGGGGAGCGGAACCTCCCATATGAATTAAATACAAAAATTCGTTTATCTGGGAAACTAATATAACTAAATTCTTCAAATTTTGCACGAACAACTTTAATATTCATCTGAACATTTTGGAGAAAAAAGGGCGGACTTTCATCTGGGGGGCTTGGAGCTCCCATATGAATTAAATAGAAAAATTCGTATATCTGAGAAACTATTAGAGCTAGAATCTTCAAATTTTACTGAAGAACATTTAGAGAATAACGGGCGGAATTTCAATGGGGGGCTTGGCACTTCCCATATGAATTAAATACAAAATTTTGTATATCTGGAAACTATTAGATTATTCAAATTTTTCATAGATTAAATTAAAATCTTAATTAACGTTCGCACCTCCCATATGAATTAAATACAAAATTTTGTATATCTGGAAACTATTAGATTATTCAAATTTTTCATAGATTAAATTAAAATCTTAATTAACGTTCGGAATAATTGGCGAAATTGCAATAATTTGCGTGGAATCTCCCATATGTAACAAATTGTATATCTGGAAAACCATTGTAGTTAGAATCATCAAAATTGTTAAGTAGGTTTCTTGTTTATATTGCTTTTAGGGTAGCACAGCACACTGGGTATAGCTAGTAAATAAACAAATAAAATATCTTTGTTTTTACGTCATTGATCATTTTCTTAATGCAAAATTTTTTAGAAACTGATTTTCTGCAAGATGTTTTATATGGAAGATAGGGTTAAATATCGGCAGATCCTAGTAAAACTTGGAGAAAGGATTTGTTTTTAATTTTTAAGAATTTTTTATTCATCCCTGCATAATTTCTCATGCAACTTTTGAGTTTGCTCTGTTTTGTTGTTATAAACAATATATTTGCTTCCAAAATCCTACTTTCTGATCTCTCGGATTCCGTTTTTATTTAAAATCGTTGAAAAATTAAAAACTAAACGTAGTTGAAAACTTAGCCGGCTTACAGTCGATTTGAAGCCGCCGCCGACATATTTAGTGTCAGTCGCCGCCACCGTTAATATTTGTCGGCGCAGGGCTCTGATCGTCGTCTGCAGCAGAACAACACAATTGTTTTCATATTTTGCAATTATCAAAATAAAAGTGAATAATAACTATTACAAACACCATGGTAGTGTCCAATTATGATGGTAATTAAAAAAGAAAAATATAACAGATTAAAATGTTTTACTTAAACTTATTTACAATTCGTAGCGCTGCGTAAACAGGCGCGTCTATTGGAAAATGAAATTGATCTGAAATTGGTGGCTTTTAGTAAAATTGGGGCTGGCAGTAGTTCCTCGTCTATGGGTCACAGTTCAAATGCTGACACATCACCACTGCTGGGCGAACATGTCTTTGACTCGTTGTCTGAGGAAATTGCCCAAATGTTAGATAAGGTTGGTGACATTATTTTTCCAAAACAAATTTCTACGATGAATATGTTGTTGGTTGTGTGTTTGAGTGTGTACGTTTATTTTTTTTGTTTGTTTTAGCTTTCGTCAATTAATGAAACAATGGCTGAACTGCCCACTACGGGTGCTGCTGCAATGCATACATTGCAACGTCATCGTGAAATATTACAGGGCTATCGCCAGGAATTTAATAAAATCTCTGCCAATCATACGACGCGTTTAGAACGCGAAGAACTGTTGAGAGGTTCCGGTTTATCTACAAACAGTCCATCAATATCGGGTTTAAGCAGACGTGATATGTATTTGAAGGAAAGTGGTCATATAAATAGGTAAGTGTTCGTACTTCAGAGAAAGATTTTGAGGATCAATTAAAATTTATTGAAAAGATTTTTATTCGACTTAAGGCTCATTTCCGCATACACCGTAATCGGCGCCGAAAATAGGATTTGTACGGAAAAAAGTAAATTTTTTCGGCACAAATGTATGTATGAGATTTTGTTTTCGGTGCCGATTAAGGTGTACGCGGAAACCTGCCTTTATTAGTATTTTAGGGCTTTCCAAAAATAATCTCTTGAGCTAATTATAATTTTTAAAATAGAGGAGTCTCGTACTTATAACACTTTTTATATATAAAAACAAAAAAGGTATTAACGATATCTAATATATTTTAGATAATTGTTGTTATTGAACATATTTTTAGATGAAATAAAAATAATTCAGAATTATAGTACTTACAGAAATTATTCAAAGAAATTTATTTATTTATTTATTTATTTATTTCGAATAAAATCAATTGTATTACATTTGACTTAGGGCGGGTTTCTTACTACTCAGTTAAACTAGGCTTAACTTGCTGTTAGATTAAACTCGGAACAAATTTAGGCGGACTTTAACCGATGATTGTGTTTTTCAGTTATGGATTTAAGTTCAGTTAACTTTGTTAGTATTGCCAACTTTTCACTCAAAAACATAAACAATGAACAGCTGTTTTTTGCAAATAATACATTTGTAAAATGAAAAATTTTGGAAAAATGTTAAATAAACATTTAAAACAATAATAAATAAAACAAAACAAATCAGAAAATTGCAATTTACTTAAAATATTAAATTTTTGTTCTTCCGAAATCATTGTTTTATTGTTTTCGTTAATTGTGTCTTCTCGCTTATAACTTAAGTTTAATTGGCCAATAACACTCAGTTAAACTAAGATAATAAGTAACGTTACTATTTACCGAAAAACACAAAACATATATTAAACTAGGTTTAACCAAAAGAATGTAGATTATCTTTATCTGAAAAACCCGGCCTTAGAGTATAAAGAGTTTAGGGGCTATGTCCCTTTTTTATTTTTTATTTTCATTTTATTTATCTCAAATATTTGTATTACAATATGTGCTTAAAATTAAACCCGCTAAGCCAATTGGCTTGACAGCACTTAGCACTACTTAGTAATGAGTTTTTAAATTATATTATGTACAATATTTACAGTTTTATTATTATATATGAAGGAAAAATTTGCAAAAACCTATATGAAGCTATTAAGATAAAAAATTCTATGCTACGGTAAAATTACGATGATATCATGTCATTAATGTGGGGATATTGTGATGCTAAACATCTTCTGTTGAAGTTGGTGGTCAATTTGGCTATTCTATCATGGACGAGCTCGATGCCTGCAAGACTATGTAGACGTCGAGTAGAGTAATGCCAAGGAAGTTTAAAAACCATTTTAAGTAATTTATTTTGTGCTATTTGAAGCTTTTTTATGTGACATTTTGCGGAAGACGACCAAACTGGAGCGCAGTAGAACATAACGGGATGAAAAATAGATTTAACAATAAGTTTCTTGTTCTCGATATTCAGTTGCGAGTTTCTGTTAATTAGAGGGTACAGTACCCTAATTAATTTGTTGATCTTATTAATAATGTAAGGTATGTGACAGTAAAAGTTAACTTTAGTATCAAGTATAACACCTAGATATTTGACATTGTTTTCCCATGGTATGTCAATATTCATAAAACGTAATGGGCTCTGGGGAATAAATTTAGCATTACGCTTCCTGGTAAAATATATTGTTTGAGTTTTTTCTGGATTAATCATAATTTTCCATTTATCGAAATATGCCTTTAACTCACTAAGAGCGATTTGTAGGTTGGAGATGATGTTAACTGCATATGTGTCTGAGCAGAGAATTGATGTATCATCGGCGAATATTGACATGACGCAATTGGAAAATACTGGAACATCTGCTGTGTATATATTATATAGTATTGGTGACAAACAGGAACCCTGAGGGCAACCAGCTGAAATATTAACTTGCGTTGACGAAGTTTTACCCAGATATACATTAAAATATCTATTTTCTAAAAAGTTTTGTATTATTTTAACAATTTCGATAGGAAAATTTAGTCTTTTTAATTTGTATATTAACCCATTGTGCCATACTGAGTCGAATGCAGCTTTTATATCGAGTAATACCATACCCGTTGATTTACCAACATTAAAATTATTTTTCACCAAATTTCTAATTTTCAATAAGGGCTGAGAAGTGTTGTGTTCTGTTCTGAATCCAAATTGTTGTGGAGGTAGAATGTTATTATCATCAATGAAAACAACAATCTTTTCCTTCAGGATTTTCTCTAGTATTTTGCTTAGAGAAGAAAGTAAGCTTATAGGTCTATACGATGAAGGTGAATCCGCTGACTTGTTTGGTTTGAGTATTGGTATAGTTTTAGAAATTTTCCACGTAGAAGGGAAATAACATAAACTAAGACATGCATTAAATATTTTTGTAAGATATTTAATACCTTTATTAGGTAGATGTTTTAAGCATTTATTATTTATGCCATCTGAACCGGGCGACTTATTGTTTTTAAGTTTTTTAATAATATTAACCACCTTTTCCTGGGATATAAAATATGATTCAGGTGGGGCATAATTCATATTATGTATTTGAGCAGCAACATTGTTAACTTCAGAAATAGTTACGCTATCACTTAAATGAGCTGAAGAAGAGTGATTCAGTTTGAATGTATGAGCCAAAACTTCTACTTTCTCCCGCTGGGTATAGTAAATATTGCTATTGTTTTTCAAAATCGGAATATTACTAGATTTCTTTCTTAAAATTTTGGATATTTTCCAAAAAGCCTGAGATGATTTGTCAATATTGGACAAGGTTATATTCCAGGATTGATTTCTGAATTTAATTATTTCATTTTTTATATTTTTGTTCAAGCGTGACATTGCATAATAATCGTTTAAATCTCTAAATCTTTTCCAATTTCTTCGGTAAACATTTCTCATTTGCATCATGATTATTATGTTATTAGGCAGTGGTTTGATAATTGGTGCTGTATGCCTTTTGGGAACAGATGTTTCTATTGCTGCTTTTACAACATTATTAAAAGTATTTATCATGTCATCTATTTGATTTTTATTGGAAATTGCATTATGTTCACTTAATGTAGGCAGGTTTTTATTTACAAATTTGGTAAAAAGTGTCCAATTTGCCTTGTTGAAAGCGTAGACCATGTTATCTACCGACTTGTAAATAAGATTAACATTACACATAATAGGTAAATGGTCTGATCCTAGGTCATTAATAACTTTGACAGCTGACATGTTTGATGATATATTAGTTAAAAATAAATCTAATGTCGATGGTTGTTTATGTGGATCTGCCGGAATATAAGAATATTCATGAGGAAATAATATTTGTGTTTGGTTTAGTTGAATTATTTCTTAAGCATCCCCAATAACCATGTCTGCAGTTTAGGTCACCACCTAATATGTATTTATTGTTAGTATCTGTTAACTTGCGAAGGTCAGATTTAAATTTAACTTGTTTGGAGATGTCTGAACCAGTGGTGCCTCCTGGAAAATAACAAGAATAAATATCAACATAGTCATTTCCACAACTTACTCTAACACCAATGTTTTCGACAACTTCAGTAGTTTTTGGTGGTAAAAGTTGATGAAGAATATTTTTCTTAATTAATATGGCAACTCCTCCTCCTGTACTGGTTTGGCGATCGAATCTATAACAGTAATAACTGTTATGTCTAATAGATAATTTATTATTTAGCCAAGTTTCACAAATTAGGCAAATATCAACGTTATGTTTCACTAAGAAATTAAAAAGTTCTTCTTTTTTTGTACGAATACTACGGGCATTCCATGATATTAACTTGATGTTATTGTTCATTTATATAAAAACTTAAAGGCAAGGTTGGTAACAACCTGAAATTGCTCCTCACGAGACTTACAGCTTTTTAGACTTGAAATTAATTCAAATGTAAGATCTTTTAATTCATCAAATGAAAACAAATTATTATTGTTATTAACATTGTTGTTGACGGATTGAGTGAACTGTTGACTATAGTTCATTCTAGGTGCATTTGAATGATTACCCATACTTTGGTTAAGAGTATTTGGGAAATTATTGTTGTAGTTTGTACCATTATTAAATGTTTGAATTCTTTTTCTATGACTTTTTGGTTGAGATCGTTGTCGAATTTGTTTATATTGTTCTCTACTTGGGCATTCTGGCGACATAGCCTTATGATCACCGTTGCAGTTCGCACATTTTATAGTTGTAGAGGAGCATACTTCAGTTTTATGGTTTCCAGCGCACTTTGCACAGAATGATTTTACCTTACATCTACTGGATCCGTGACCGTACATCTGACAATTGTAACATTGTGTTAACTTTGACTTATTTGGTTTTTGATATTCCCATCTTACTTTAATATAATTAATAGCAGAGTAATTTTGCCTTAGTTCTTTAAGGGTAATTGATTTCCTTTCAAAATAGACGATGAAAATAATATATTCTCTACTACCTTCAGCGGACCTAGTCACCATTTTAACATTGATGCATTTAAGACCTAATTTTATTAGTTGTGCCTTAATAACTGTAGGGTCAGTTTTCTCCAATCCAAGAAGAACAGCTTTATATGGTTTTTCGTTCTTTTGAGCATATGTAAAATATTCTAGTTGAAATTTTTCGGTAAGAGCAAGGCAAACCTTATCAAAATCTTCTTTATTTGAACAAAATAACTTCAAACCAATTGATATTTTTCGAATTGAATATTCTTTTATGACCAATATTCTGCACATTTCATGAATTTGATCAATCTGGCATTTTAAAATTGTTATTGGTGGTATGTTCACCTTAACAGCTGGTTCGAAAACAACTTCATCGTTATCATCATCATCAAGAGTTTGAAGTGGTGTAAAAAAATTTGTATTTGTAGTTCTAAGAGAACTACTAGCAGTTGCTTGTCTCTTACTCATACTGTGGCCTCGAGAGGCAACAACAACATCTTCTACGTTTCTTCGCTTAATTTTGTTTTTTATTTTTTATTTTGAAACAATAAACAAAAATATTTGGTTGAAAAAAAAGGAAAATACCGTACACTTTTTGATTGCAGATCAAAAGTAACAAGAAAATTATGACTTTACACATCAAATGATAGTGCAAGACTCATTCAAAGAAATGTTGCAAATTTTTATAGCAATTATCAGTATTGTAAATTTTGAAAAAATGTTTTTTAATAAATATTTGTACACTTTTTTTATCAACATTTTGGTATTGAAATATTAAGCAAGTTTTATAGAAAACTTATTATATATAAATGTATTTATTTTTATTTCAGCTCCAATAGCATGATAAATGATCAAATAAATATTGCAATCGAGACAAGAGAGCATTTACTCTCGCAACGTCAGGCTTTCAAACGCATACAGACTCGTTTAAATGATATGTCAAATAGGTTTCCTTTAATTTCCAGGTAAGTTTTAATATATTTTTTTAAATAAATAAAGAGTAACTGAAAAATATGTTTATTGACAGTTTAATTCAACGAATTAATATTAGAAAGAAACGTGATGCTTTAATACTGGGAGCAGTTATTGGATTTTGTGTTATACTGTTATTACTATACGCCTTTAATTAACGTCTGAACGGTTTTACTTTATGTTAAAAAGAAAACGAAAATCTTTAAAAACCAAAATATTAACAAGTTTATGTTTTATTATTTTTAGTAAACGACAAAACGATTAATTTATAAAATATTAAAATAAAAAATCAATAACTGTATTAAAAAAAATTTAAGTTATATGAATATCAATGTAATTTTGTGATAAAACAAAGTTTATATAAATAAAGGAAAATTAATCCAAATTATTGTTAAACAAATTATTTGTTTTTATATTCAAAATTTTAAAACATGAACCTTGAACGGTTTGCGATTTAATAAAATTCAACTTTGCGGCTTTGAGTTATGAAAAGTCAACTGCGACTTTTTAAGACGAATCATCGAATATTTAAAGTTAATTTATAGGAACCCTAAATTCTTTAAAAAGTTGCCAGACAAATCTGGCAACTTTATTAAAACAGCTGTGCGGCCATATGGAGGAATAGACGAAAAAAAACTTATTTAATATTGTTAAAATAACTTTTTAAAAATACTTAATTAAAATTAATAAAAATACTATAAAATTCCTCCAAAATGGCACTGTCATCACCACCACCTAATGATGGCAATAAGAAATCAGTGTTTTTTGAGAATCCCACCATGGATTATATGGCACAACATTTTGTGGGCAATTTACACAGGTATATTTTTATTTACTTGTATTTTTGATGAATTTGATTTAATTTTTTAATTTCCTATAGATATCGTGAAAACATAGTGATACCAAAAGGCAATGGCCCAGTACAGATTAAAACCGACGAAGAGAAAATGATTGAAAAGGCGGTGGAAAGTTGTGGCTTCAAATCGTTTACAGCCTGTGTAATGGGTAAGTGTTTGATATTGGGTTATGTGATTAAGTTGTTGCCGTTTGTTGAAAATAATCTAAACAAGTAAGAGTGTTATATTCGGCTGTGCCGAATCTTGTATACCCACCATCAAAACATTGCCGAAAAGGAATGCTTCCTTATAAATAAACTCATTTTCTGAAGGGGACCTTATATGGGGGTAGGGTCAATTATGGACCCATCCTCATAAAATGTATGAAAATGATTTTAGTTCCTATAAAAATTTTTATGTCGAATTTCATTGCTATATATGCTTCTTAAGGTTAGATATGAGCACTAAAGTCATTTTCTGAAGGGGACCTTATATGGAGGGTAGGGTCAATTATGGACCGATCCTTATAAAATTTTACGAAGAGATTTACTTTCCTAAAATATGTTCCTGTCGAATTTCATCGCTATAGATGTTTCTTTTAGACAGTTACGAGCGTTAAAGTCATTTTGTGAAGGGGACTTTATATGGGGGGTAGGGTCAATTATGGGCCTATTCTTCTAAAATTTTACAAAGAGATTTATGTTCATATAAAACTTGTTGGTGCCGAATTTCACCGATATTGATGATTCTTTTAACCAGTTATGAGCAATAAAGTAATTTTCTGAATGGGGCCTTATATGGGGGCTAGGCGAAATCGTGGACCGATATTGCCCAATACCAAACAAACTGCATTAACTAAAAGTATCTATGCAAAATTTTAGCTCGCTAGCTACTTCCGTTTGGACTCTATCGTGTTTTCAACAGACAGACGGTCACACAGACGGACAGACAGACAGACAGACAGACGGACGGACATGACTAGATCGTCTTAGAATCTAATAAGGACCCAGAATATATATACTTTTATGGGTCTTAGATGGATATTTCAATGTGTTACAAAAGGAATGACAAAAACAATATACCCCCCATCTTTTTTGATGGTGGGTATAAAAAGTAAAAGTAAACTTTCCAAAAAAATTTATTAGTTCTAAAACTAGATCAAGAACGTATGATTACATGTTGTACTCGTTCTATTTGGGCGTTGAGATCAACGATTTTACCACGAAATTGTCACCTTCGGAACTGGCTCTATGACGAAAATCTTTCCATGGAAAAGGTTCTGAAACTAGTTACTTAATCAGTTATTTTTGATCGAACTTGTCACTCTCGAAATTAGTTCGAGGGAAGTTTAAGAATGTTCTGAAACTGGTAGGTATTTTATCAGCAATACGTTTTAAATGCTTAAAAATTGGATCAGTTTTGTGGGACGTTTAATATAGAAAAGTTATTTAAAATTTTATAAAAATGGTCTTAATATTTTATCATTAATAACGCCACTCTTAACTGTTGAGAGAGAATATATACGAACCTGCTACTAAAACCTATTTTTATACCTTAGAAATATTAGTCCTACACCTACCTAAAGTATACCAATCGGTATATATCGGCTTATATTATGTTAAATGTTGTAAAATCTCTACAAAATTCGGCAAATCTTAGTTGTATATAAGTTTAAATGATACAGCCCCCTTCAGAAAATAGCTTGAAAGTTATCGCCTTAACAAAATTCATACGGATAGGACCATATAACCCCTTTTTCAGAAAAATTTTCCATAAAAATCAACATCGAAAATCCTGGCGAATACTTTTACTGCCTGTTTTACAATATTAAAACAACATTTTCTTTCATATAAATCTATTGAAAACAAAAACAACATAATCTACTTCTAGGTTATGGTCTTGGTGCTGCTATTGGTTTATTTAGTGCCTCGGTAAATCCCAATATGTCAGATCCTTTTGCCAATGAAAAGAAACAAACAGCAAGAGAAATTTTCAGAGAAATGCGTTCGACAACTCATGGTTATGCGAAAAATTTTGCTTTAATCGGTTGTGTTTTCTCAGCCGTCGAATGTGCCATTGAAAGTGTAAGTATTTCAAGTTATTACCTTATTTTTTTTAAGTTATTAATAACGTTATATTAAATTTGTCATCATAGGAACGTGGTGTTACCGATTGGCGTAATGGCACATATGCTGGTGCTGTAACTGGTGGTTTAATTGGTTTAAGAGCTGGTGTTAAAGCCGGTATTATTGGCGCCGCTGGTTTTGCAGCTTTCTCTACAGTTATTGATTATTATATGCACAGCAGATAAAAATAGTTTTAGTTGTGAATTAATTCATATTTTCTAGAGTAACTTAATGAAATGTTGTTAAAGCTTTTTAAATAATAATAAAAACAAATCAGCGAAAAAAGAAAAATACAGAAATAGGTTTAAATTAACATATAAAACTTGTAATGTGTTAATTTTTGAGTAGAATAAAAATTTTAACTGATTACATACATAAATAAGGAATATCATTTTATTCTTACAAAAATAAACAAAGAGGACAAGTTTGGTCACATACTAAATTTGATTTTTTTATTTACATGAATTTATTTAAAGAACAGTATGGTTTTATACTCTTCTATCACGTTTAGGTTTAATTCTATTATTTTAAACTTGAATATGTATAAAAATAACTAAATTTTAATCACGTCTTAATTCGTTCTATTTTCTATTGCATTAAACAATTCTTTAAAGTTATAAGGGCATGAAAAAGAACTAAATTTAAAGACAACAAATCACTTCACTTATTAAAAATTCCAAACAAAAGGTTTATAAAAGTCATAAAAAACTGTTCAAGTGTCCGTTTTGTTAAAATAAAACAACCATCTTTACGGTACTTCCTGTCAGTCTCACTTATATCAAACTATCTAGTCATAGTAAAAGAATATAAATAAAATAAACAAGAAGTACTTCTACTTCAATTACCAATAGCATTAATAGACAAAAAATGGTTTAAAATAATCAACTTTACAGTAGTAGTGACTTCTTTAGAGTCACTGCTATCACGGTAGTGCGGCAAACGTTTGATCAGCTCAACGTAATTGTAGTAAATTTACAATTCATCACAACAACGAAAAAAACACACTCTCATATTTATGTTGAAAGCGTGTAGTTGTAATAAAACAATAATCATAATTTATTAAAGGTAAGCAACGACTACGAGTTGTCCTATATGATATACTTAAATATCAAAAATTTTCATAAAGTTAAAGTTATTTATGAAGAATTTCATCGTAATACTAATGTTTATAAGTGAATTATTGATCTTCAAGTCATTTTCTGAAGAGGACTTTGTATGGGGGCTCAAATGAGGTCCTATTATGAAAATCAGCAATATTATTTTGACTTATGTATAAAAGCTTTATTTGGGGGTACGGTTGGTTGTATAGGCGCTAAGTGAAATAATGAACCGATTTTGACCATTTCTATAGGCTTCTTTCTTGGGTCAAAAGAAACGTTTGTACCAAATTTCATCAAATTATTTTGAATATTGCGACCTGTAGTTTGATTACGAGGTTTACATGGACGGACATAGCTAAGCTGATTGGTATACTTTAAGGTGGGTGTAGAGTCCATATTTCTATGCGTTACAGACATCAGCACAAGCCCAATATACCCTGCCCACTAAAGTTCATATTTTTTTTAATTTTATAAAATTTTAATATTGAAAATATTCTATGAATAAATGAAAAAAAAAATTATCTTTCAATCTACGAAAAAACTAAACTTTTAAGATTTTTTTTTTTCAATCTTAAAAGAAAACTGCAAGTGTAGGGTGTCAGTCAACAATGTGAAAATAATGCTAAGTAAAGTTACAACAAGAAATAATAAATACATTTTAAATGTACATAAAATTATTCATACTACATGACACATGAGTGAGTGCATAATGGATCTACAAAAATGTTCATAAAAAGTAGGGATCAAAATTAACAAGACGTAATTACTGGAAGATTCTTATGTCGGACGACAGCTAATGTTGCAACACATTCTAAATTCCTATTTTGTTTCAAAATGAAAATAATCTTATTAAAAAAATTGCCGGAAAAGTCACTACATATAAGATCTAATCCGTATGCTAAATTTGGTATCAAGATCTAATCCGTATGCTAAATTTGGTATGAAATTGCTTTATTAAGTATTAATAAATTTTAAAATGTTTTACTCTTATTTAAATTATATTCATACGATATTTCTTTTTTTGAAACCGTGTAAATTTAGTTTTTAAAAAAACTTTTTAAAACTATGAATTTATTACGTATAAAATCTACTACCATCTACTACATACAGTCAAAATATTTCGCTTTATAGCCTAAAGTCTGTACACGTTTTA